AGAAACTAATAATAGAAGTAAACCCTGAACAATGTTCTGGCATCTCTCCATCATTTAACAGCCACTGAATAGCAACTGTTACATGTCCCATCCAGTTTGGCTTTTAGTATAACAGAGCAGACTGCTGTTAACATCGCATACTAACAATGACGCATCTTCCCCCTGAAATCCAAATCATTTCCAAATATATCAATGGGGTGGCAGACATATCTTTTGACACGTATATGGATGGTCCCAAATCTTAAACTTTCATTACAGAGGCATGCAACGTAAACTGTATAAACTTCAATTGATCCGTATTTTAAACCTGGGCTTTAAAAAAGTGCATTCGTTGGAAAACACAGCATGGCAATACAGGGCCAAATTCCATAAGACCCTGTGGAAAAATCTCATCATCACCCTCAATGAGGATTTGGCCCCTATACTTTATTGATAGCATATGCTGTAGCTACTGAAACAAGCTGTATAAGTTCAAATCAGCACATGAATATATAAAATAGGCATTTACAGGCATCAAGGACAACTTCCTACCATATAGAAGGTGAGTTGCACAGAAAACTACTTGTGTTACCCATGGATAGATGGGTAGGTGCCTATGCTTTGGGACCTGCAGGCTTAGCTTTGAGACGCCCCCAGGTGTCTACGCTTTGAGGCCCCTAATCTGAAAGAGCCACCTCTAATACCGACTGCAATTTCTTATACAGAACAATGAAGAATAAATGGCAATTCCTCTGAATGGTGTTCCACTAGCTTTCCACGGCAAGCCACGATTTGAATTGCAAAGAAACTACTAATGACACCAACCAACAACCCGGCAACGGCGGGCGGAGGATTAGGAACGGACTATGCTCTTTCAGAGGGTCAGTACCTGTCGAATAGGTTCTCCAAGGATCTCCAACGTCCCTGGGTAGTTCTCGATCAGTGAGACATGGAGGTTGTTTTCCGCTCTCCGGGTGAGTGCCGAGACAATGGCATAAGCCTGTTCCAGCAGTGCGCAGTTTTGCCGGTTTCTTGCTTTGTTCCGGATTAATTCCTACAAGAGAACAAAGCTATTACTGGTCATTTCCAAGAGCCTCCATTTTATTGCTATAACCAAGGAGCATAGGCAGGACGCTGAAGGTTTCTTTCCATTCCGGACCAGCCTTGTTTCATGCTTTTGCTCACTGGTTAGCTACCATCAATGTACTTTCTTTCTATCAGAAGTTCATGGGCTCTGTGCTGCCCTGCCCTTGAAGCAGGTATTAGTGAACAGTGACAAGGATAAAGCAAAACCCACAACTAGGATACCTCTCTGGCTGACTGAAGACTAACCAGCAAAGAGATCCGTATTTTTATGTACTATCTCTTTGATGCATCTATCACTATGATAACACCAAGATAAGTCATCAATTCAGGAAGGAGTGCCAAAATAAAAGAGAAAATCCAGGGGAAGTCGGAAGAGCAGTACACGCAAGAAAAATTTTAAAATGCTATATGTTTCTCCTAAAACTAATTTAAATAGTACTCTTGCTCTTTTTGTCGTTTTTAATGTGGGGTTTGTACAGAGTCTTCAAACGATTTTGCTGTTCAGAGCTCAGACAAGCACGCTGATGAAGGGAGCAAATTTGAACCTCCCGCAAACAATACAGAATCCTGAAATTTGGAAAATTTGAATTTGAAAAAATGTAATAAGAGGCTCTTTCTGGGCCTATTTCCTTGTGTTGCCTCTATAAGTATCACAAAAAAAATGGCAGTTTGAAACAGTCATTTCTGCTCTTGGCTAAAACCTGGAAGTGCAGGAGTAAATGAATAAAAGCCTTAGATGGCAAAATATTTCCAAAGCTTCAAATATGGGCTGCTCTGGACTCTTGAAATGGGAAAAATTTGCAGAAAAAGAAGAGTTAACTCTTCCATGCCTAAGCTTATCTTTATTTCAGCCTCAAATGCAAAGAAGGAAGTTGCCTGCCTGGACAAGTCCGCGATTTGTGGGATGAAGGCCAATTTAACAGATGCACTGTCATATGCGAAGCAAATTTATATTCTTAATGGGCATCACCTTTTAAAGTCCACTCGGGTACAGCTAGCTGAATTTCTCAAACTTGTCAGGTGGCAGCTGAGATGCTGTGCACCTCTCAAGTGATTTGGGTTTACATATTTAAAATGGACAAAGGTGCTTAAATGTGATCTCACCTACTCCAGACAGACTCCAAAGGAGTGTCCCTGGCATGAAGCCAGGATAAGTGAAATCAAAGTCAAAGCACTTTTCCCCCATAGGTCCCCCCCAAAAGGAATGCAAACCCATCACGGAAGGAGCGGCAAGAACTTTACCTTGATGACAGTTTGATACTGCTGGATCCTGTGTATGGGTCTCTCCAGGTAGTGCTGCAGTGGGGGGACAGGTGGCTGAGACGGATCCTCGCTAGCTAACGTTTCCTCGGAGTATCTCTGAGGAAAAATTCAAAATGAAAATCACTCTTTGTGACAAAATTGTTCAATAATGACAAGAAACTCGCCCCGTGAAAATATGATCG